GCCTTCTTTGCTGCCCCACCGGTCAGGGCAGCAGCTAGGAGGTGGCAGAAGGGTGAGGAATTCAAGGTCATGTGTAGCCACAAAGCAAACAAGCAAACAGAAAAGAAAGGTTGAAAGAAAAATAAGCACTGTAGAGACCACTTGTTCCTTCACTAAGGAAACTCAAAGACGGGGTAGCAATGGGCCAGCCATCAGATGACAACCCCGAGTCCCATTCCCAGGACCCACACAGTGGAAGGAGAGAACTAACTTGTGCAAATTGTCCTCTGCCCTCCACTCTCAACATGGCACATGTATGTGCCCACCTGTGGCCTCCCTTCACAGAAAATAAATTAAAATGTAATAAAAACAGAAAAGAAACTCATCCAGCAGAGGTGGCACATGTCTTTAATCCCAGTACTGGAGAGGCAGAGGCAGGTGAATCTCTAAGTTTGAAGCCAGCCTGGTCTATAAAACAAATTCCAGAACAGCCAAGGGTACATAGAGAAACCCTGTCTCAGAACAAACAAACAAACAAATAACTCAAGGTTTAGTGGCCTCTTCTGGCATCTGAGGGCACATGTACACACACACACACACACACACACACACACACACACACACACACACGTGCCGTATTCTAAAGCACCTGGAAATATGTGGATTTCATTACTGCTGCCACCATATGGTGAGGCCGTGACAGAAAGGAAGCAGTTAGATAAGCCATCGTAATTCTCTAGACAAGTGAGACAATGTGAGTAGACAGCATACAAGATATCAGAGTTGCCTCGGAGGAAATTGGAGACAGACTGCATGGTTGAAAACGCATGGAAAAGCAACCAGAAAGCATTTACCTACAGGAACAGAAAATATCTGAATTGAAGAAAAATAACTCCTCCCAAATGACAGCTTGCAAAGGAAAAGAAGACAAATGTTTTCTTCTCTCCCCTGACAATGGGTGTATGTTTCCCAGAGAAGCTTCTACCACAGAAATATGTATCTTCATCAGAGTCATTTAATTTTATTTAAGAAGTAATCTTAATGAAAAACACTCTAATTTAATGTTCCCAAACACTCCCAGATGCCATTGTTAGGTCATTTTCCACCCTATAACCAGTGACTATAATTCATCTGTCAGCAACTGCCCCAAACAGCAATTGCTTGGTCAAGAGTATCTACTGCCCACTGGTGGGCAGGTACATGTATTGCAGGACAAAATCCTCACATGCTCCAGGGTAAATCACCCCATTGCACCAGAGATGGGACTGGAGCCACCATGAGAAATTATTATTCAGGAAAACAAGGGCAAATAGGGAGAAACCCACAGAAAGACGAGAAGGCAGAGATTGCTGAGACAATCTAGCTATGAAAATAGTACCTTAAAGATGAAAAAAACTGAATTTTTCTTTTCTCCTAGTGAAGTACACATTACTTGTACAATTACAATAGTTTTTAATAGCTCATTTACTAAAAGCCCTGCATTTATAAAAATCTATGACATAAACTATGAAGACAAACATAGCCCAGAACACTGACTGTGCTGGTGGGAGCATGGAGTGGGTGGCCTGGCCCCTGCCTCAGAGTTCTTTCTGTTTTAGGTGGAAGCCAGCTTTGTACCAGATGCTTTTCCCTGAGTGAGATGGGAAGGGCACAGTGAAGTGCAGGGGACAGTCATCAGTAACACTGGGTGGACTCTTTCCCCCTCCCTCTAAGCAGAATCCAGGTGTTACTTGATCATGTGATGGTTCAGGAAGAGAGGGATGTAAGCAAAGAGTTCCTCCGCCACAGCACAGCTGGGCAACACTACACTGCTCTGAACAAAGGGAACAGAGTGACTGATAGAAAAGAATATTTCCTAGAAACCCACATTATTTGGACAAGCTCCCAAGTCAGAGAAAAACAACATCGGAGCCGTTCTTACTTCATTGTAATATCTCCAACTTTGCCAGGTTCTCTCCCACCAAGCACACCACAGCCGTGGGAGAAAATGGCTGTAGGCATGGAAATGACACTCTGTTTATACACAGTTAGTTGTGTGTAACACCCTCTTTGATAAATATGTTTTTAAACAGCCCTTTCAGTCTTGAGGGCCCCAAGCTTTGCAGACACTGATGCTGAGGTCCAGAACTGTTTATTCAGTCTGAGAAGTCCAGGGTTCAGAGACAGAATGAGGGGACTGCTAAATCAGAGTGCAGAGAGCACGGTGTCAAGTCACACTCTGTTAAGAGGTAAGTGCAAATTTGGTTAAGAATGTCAGAAATAATCTTTGTTTGTACAAGTGCTATATGAATACATAGTATTAAAATTATTTTAAGAATCATATACTACAAACACACCAAAGGCCACTTTCTCCAAACACATGCCCCCTTCGCAATGGTCACTGATTTCACTTAGTGATGTGCTCCTCAGCATTGCAAATGTATGCACATACACATGGACTGTCTATGCACAGATATATGTCTCATAGAAATGGAGAGAAAGCTCAGTGGGTAGAGGGCCTGCCATGTGAGGACCTGAATCTGATGTTCAGTGCCTGCATTTAAAGTAAAAGCTGGGGATACTGGCACACACTTGTAATCCCAGCATCCGAGAGGCAGGACAGGAGAATCCCTGTGTTCACAGGACTGACAGCCTAGCCTAATCAGTAACGCTGGGTTTCCATGAGAAACTATCTTAAAACATAGGTAGAAAACTCAAAGGAGCAACAGCCCAGGTGGGCGTCTACATGCATGAGCACACACATGCATCCACACACAGTAGCCCAGATGGATTTCCAGCTGCTATATGCAAGAGAACACACGTGCACCCCATATACACACACATGCACCCACACACAACAGCTCAGGTGGACTTCTGGCTTCTACATGCATGAGCACACACACTGCACCCACACACAACAGCCATCTATAGCTCACAATTATGTGTGATCTTGTACAAAGAATCAACATGGTCCCTTCAAGCTTGATCCATGCTGATATTATAACCACTATCTCAAAATACTAATCTTTATGGATATCTCTCCCATCCAATCTCGGTCACTCATTCAGTCAGAGCCCTCTGTATTGACTCAGTGAGAATATCTGTTCTCTTAGCAATTAGAGGAAAAAGGTATTGTGTCTATGAGTGTGAAAGAGAATCAAGCAGGAAACTAGGAAAGCGTAGACTTTATGCTATAGTAAGAAACCAGAGGGAGAAGTCATGATGATTATGCCTCCCTCCACATCTCTGGGCAATGTGACTGTCAGAAGAATTTGGGCTTGATGCTTTCGGGATCTCACACAAGAGTGACAGATACCTATGGAAGCCAGGCATATGATAAAGATGGCTGGAGCAAGATGAGTGGCAGCAGACACCTGTTCCTTTAATACAATGTGAGGGATACATTTGGGGGAAATGTGGATTGTGGCAAACAAGAGTGAAGCCACAACCTCCTCAGCATAGAGCAAGCCAGCTACTTGTCAAATCCCTTCCACCTTTAGATCAGAAAAAGTATTAACTGACATTTTTAATATTAAAAAAAAATCTCTCCAGCATTGGTCTTAGTTTCCCTTCCTACCATCATGACAAAACTTGGACAAAAGGGACTTCAGGGAGAAAGGGTTTGTCCTGGCTCACAGTTCCAGAGTGCCATCTGTCACAGTGGGCATAACAAGGAGGCTCCAGCTTGAAGCAACTGGGCACATCACACCCACAGCAGGAAGCAGGGAGGGGTGGGTCCTGCTGCTTCTTAGCCCGGTTCATGGCACATGGTCCAGGATCCCAGCCAAGGAATGCTCCCACACAAAGCAAAGCTATGGCAGCTAACCCTCAGCGGGCACGCTGTAGGCGGAAGTTGATCCCGATGGATACAGATCAGCTCACAGACTTAATCAACCCTCTACATGTTCTCTGGTAGCAGAACCAGTGCCTCCATAAAACATTTGTTGCCGAATTAATACTTTGAAAATTGAAAATCAAGAATACAGTTTTTTTTTAAAAAAAGATTTCAAGGATTTTCGTGGGTGTGATGATTAATATCAAGAGTGTGTAAACTCATCTAGGAGTCAGGCCTCTGGAAATGCCTGTGAAGGAGTTTCTATACTAGGTTGAGACAGAGAAACCCATCTGAATAAGGGTCCTGACTATATAAAATGGAAGGGATTGCTCAGCACCAGCATTAATCTCTCTCCCCTACTTCCTGACAGTAGCTGTGGTCAGCTACCACGTGGCTCTGCCGCCATGCCTTCCCAGCCATGATGGGCTTACTCTCAAACTATAAGCCAAAACAAACCCTTCCTTCTTTCCTGTCTAAGTTGCTTTTGTCAGGGATTTTGTTATTATAACAACTAGAAAAGCAACAAATATCATTTTCCTTCATGAAGGTATAATTGGCAATTAGAGCAATTTTCATCCTTCTACTAAATTTTGAATGATTTTTTTTTTCTGGAAATGAAGGGAAAATTCACTCACCGGATTATCATTTGTTCTCTCATTCCTCAGAAAACTCATACACTGTGTTAACCTGCACTGCTTTGGGAATAGATTAGCCTCTGCACTTAATTCTTTTATACAAGGGAAGATGGCTCAACTCTACCTAGAGAGAGAAGCAGACTCAGGGACCCGGAGGAGACACAGTCTGAAAGGGTGCTAGGGCAGGGAGCTTCATCAAATATGACCCTGGTCTTGAATCAGATGCTGCAGTACAACACACTCTCAGGGCTGAGGATGGCAGGGACAGATGCCATGCCCTGCCCTGCCCTTTTTTTTTTTTTTTTTTTTTTCATCTCCCCTGAACTTCCTGTGGGTTTAAACTGAGCAGGGCACCTGGGTGTGATTAATAAGAAATTATCTCCTCCCCCATAGGATCAAAGATTGATTCTTAACCCTGAGAGTCTCTACTTGAGAGAGAAGAACAGTTCTTGGAAATGACCTGTTCAGACGGAAACACAGACACACAGGCTGTATGGACACGATCATTGCCAGCTCCCTGAAGAACACCCCTGCTGTGTTTAAGTAGGATGCTCTAAAGATGGTATATCTACCTTGAAGATGAAATCAGCCATCAGGGGTCCGGGAATCTTGAAGGTATGTCTGTCAGCACCCTTCTGAAACTCAATTGTTGTGTTTTCCACAACAAAAACCCCAGGACTGTTGAAACTGTGTTCTCCTCTGTTTCCTTGAAGTGTTTTTGACTCAATAACTGAAAATTTAAAAAATAAAATTTAAATATGAGAACAATCCTAAAGACATTTGATTTCAAATGACATTTTTACTAAGTGCAATATCAGTATGTGTGATTAACAGATATAGAACTATCTACTCAGTTGATGGCATTGACTCATGTTGGCAGAACAGATATATGAAATTTTTAGGGGCTAGCAAGGATTTTTTTTTCCTTTTTTTGGCCCAATCAAGTTCTTGAAACCATTTCTACCACAGAATAAAAAGGAAAGTTTCCTTAGTTGATGTTTTTTCACGATGTACCTAAAATCACAGCTCGAGTGAAGCCATGTCTCTTATTACCTATTCAAAAGAGTCTTAATTTTGATTTAAAATATTATTTCTCCTTAAATAAATATAAATTCATTGAAATGGGTACAGAGAAATCCTATGTAGTCTTTTCTCATGTGGTCCATGGTAATCTACGGCACAATAGCCAAACCAGGAACTGATGGTAAATGTGTGCTGTGTTGGTTGGGCAGCTATTGTTTCACCATAGTACTGAAGAGCAACGGTCCACGTTTCCTAGGAACTCAGCCCCAAGAGTGTGGGGGAATCTAGGGAGGTGATCTAGAACCACGGCTTATTAGTTTGGTTTAGATGCCTAGGAGAACTGCAGAGGTGACACTTTAGCTCTGAGTTCACACAGAGCCCTCTGTGGCATCTACAGCAGGTGGCAAGGTGGGTGGACCCAGGGTATCCATAATCATCCCACCACTATTATGGAAGAGGATGAGAATCTGTGTCCAACACCCAGCTAATTCTTCCCCTCCAGACTCCACAGAGAGGAAGGGGGTAGGGAGTGAGCCAGTAGGACCAGCAGCCTCGCACAGCTGGAAGTGCCATCAGGAACTGAAGCCTTCTTTTGTGCCCAGATCTTTGCAGCTCATTTATAATTGCACTTTTTAATATGGCATCTCTTTTATATGTATGCATCTGTATGTGAACCCACAGGACAGTATATTCACCACATGCACACAGGAACCAGGAAAGGTCAGAAAGGGGATACCAGAACCCCTAGAATTGGAGTAACAGGCAAGTGTGAGCTGCATTGTGGGAAGGGAACTGAACCCAGGTCTTTTGTAAGAGATCTGTCTCTCCAGCCCCTATAAGGACAACTTTAAGTACTTTAATCTGTACTAGGAAGGAAGGAAGGAAGGAAGGAAGGAAGGAGAGAGAGAACGAAAGAAAGGAATAAAGAAAGGAAGGAAGGAAGGAAGGAAGAAAGGAAAAAAGAAAGAAAGGAAGGAAGAGAAAGGAAGATGGGGGAGTGAGGGAAGAAGGAAGGGAGGGAGAGAGGGATGAAGGAAGGAAGGAAAAGAAGCAGTGGCTTTGGCTTTAAAGCTAATGAATGTTTCTAGCTGTTTCTAACTGAAGGACTTACACCGAAAACCTCAGCTGTGGCTCCTTTGGAAAAAAAAACAGAACCAGGTGACAAAGAGAGATGTTAGATAGTGGAAGTCAGTAAAACACTCTTAGGTGGCTTTAGGCAACTATGCATGAGGGCTTACAGTTAGCCCTACAGCACCAAGCACGTGCCTATAGCAGATGCATGTCTATAGTGTGTCCCTGTCTTGCTTAGCATTGCTTTCCTTTGGCCATTACGTATCGCGCCCATGGTTCTGTTCGTGATCAGCACTTGGTGGAGGTTTCAGCCTATGGCATCTTGGTCTTTCAGGTTATTGTTAGTAGAACATTTGATTTGTTATTAATTTGAATTTTTTTAAAAAAAAATTAAAAGTGTGTGTGTGTAAGAGAGTATCTGCCACATGAGTGTAGTTCCAACAGTGGCCAGAAGAGGGCATTGGATATATGCCCTGAAGCTGGACTTAGAAGCAGGTATGAGCTACCATGTGCATGCTGGGCATCAAATTTAAAGTAGTTAGCACTCTTAAACATTGAGACATATCACCAGGCTTTCATAGTTTTAAAACTATGAATAAGTACATTTACTTATTCATTGAGGTGGTGCTGGTGTGGTGGCTTTCTTGTCCTATCACATGGGTCCTGGGGATCGAGCTCAGGTAGTTAGGCTTTACCTTTACCTTCTAAGTCATTGTACCAGCTGTGTCGAACATAATTAAGGCCAAAGTTTTCCATAATTACATTGTTTTTGCACGGGTTTTCTTACTGTTTGCATTTGGGTAGGGACACATGACTGGAAAATCTGGGGCTCTGGGCTCCTTACAATAATGTGGCTAGGATTAGAACGTGTTAGAAATTCAAAATCTAAACAGCTCTAGGCAGATTTTAAAACAGAAATTCTATAATTAAATTGCATTCCACAACAAAGGGACTTGATATTAACAGTACCAAGTATTCTCAGTTTTCAAAACTGCATTTGGAAGGTTGTAGTTACTACAGGCCTTAAAAGAATGATTTATTACTGCAAAATAAGCTTGATTTCAGAAATACAGCTTTAAAAAAATAAAAAATAAATGGTTATATAAAACAAGAAAACAAAACCCCTTCTGTAATGTGAAATTCAGACATGTAAACTAAGTCCTTTGCAAGGCATCCAGTGGAGAAGGGTGGCTTTCAGAAAGGCTTCCAGGGCTGCGGGGGGGGGGGGGGTTGTGCGCTTCAGAAGAGGAAAACTTCAAGCAATAGATCTGTCACTTGGAGAAGTGGGAGCATTTCTGAACTCTGGTCTCCAGAAGAGCACCAGTCTTCAGTACAAAGCCAGACTTCATCTGCCCGCGCATGCTTGCTTGTGGAAAGGAGGCTCCCTGGGATATTTGTCCTTACTTGTTCTGCTTACAGAGTTGCTTACTCTGTTTTTATACCTAAAACAATTCTCTTAAAGCTGGACATAGTGGCTGACACTGGCAAGCACGTCCTTGGGAGACAGAGGCACGAAGCTTAGCCCAAGTCCAAAGTAAGCCTGGGCTACAAGCCAGCTTGGGATACACATGGAGTCCCAGGGCCACCTGGAAGACACAGTGAGGCCTTCTCTCAAAACACTACCATAATCTTGAAACTGAACTTGGGGAGCCGCCATCAGTGTTATTAGGGCAACACATTAAAAACGCATTTTAAACAATTGTTACTATCTAACTGTCATGCCATAGAGCCCACCCAGTTGTTTTCTTTCTTTGTGGTGTGATTGCCTCCCTTCTCAGTACTGGGTGTTGAAACCGAGGCCTAACACTACTATTGAGTTTAATTTCCATTCCCCAGTCACCTATACAAAATAAATTATTTTATTATTTACTCATGCTCAGCATTTTCACCACAGAATAAGATTACAATGGTTTTTGTCACTCCTAAATAAAATCTCATCCTTAGCCAGGAAATCATCCATCTACTTTCCATCTCCGCAGCTTTCTCTGTCTAAGTAATTCATCTTATGGCACTGGGTGACCTGTGGGTTTTGGAATTGGCTTCTTTCACTCGGTCATTATTTTCAAGGATCATCTACCTACATTGTAGCATTCATTAGAATGCCTTCTCTTTTTATCACCAAATAATATCCCACATGTGTCCTGATTACTTTATTAATTCAACAATTGATAGATTGTTCTCATTTGAAGACGAGCAGGACTAATGTTGTTATGGATATTCAGCACTTCACTTATTTGTTATTTATTTATGTAAATATGCATGGATTGGGGGGATTTTTTTGAGACAGAGTCTCACATATCTAAGGCTGTCTTGACTACCCTATCTTCCAGATTCCATCTCCTAAAGTCTGAGGTTACAGGTATGTACCACCGTGCCTGGTGCTTTTTATAGTTTCTAGTCCAGATAATGCCTCACAATTTTATCATTGAGATAATTCATATAATTCACTTGGGGTGATTTTTTGTTAGTTTCTAAGTGTTGCATTTTAATTTACAAGGAGGATGAATTGACCCCGCAGAGTTCTGAAGCCATTTAGAAAATAGTCTCTAAGATGTTCCAATGCCTCACATCAAGGGTAATCTTGCTAAACTAATGCTAATCATAAGGGGCTAAAGAATTTCTCTTTAAGAGCTTATTGTGGGGAGATTGCTTGGTCAGTAAACTGCTTGCTGTACAAGTATAAAGACCTGAGGTGGATCCCCAGCAGCCACACAGAAACAGACAAACAAACAGGTGCAGCAGCAACTGCCTATAACCCAGCATGCAAGAGGCAGGCAGGTGGGTCTGTGGGGCCTGCTGGCCCATCAGGTCAGGTCAGGTCAGCCAATTGGTGAGGGAGCTTGTCTCAAGGAATAAGGTGAGGAGTGATTGAGGAAGACCCCTGACAGCCAACTGTGGCTTCAACATTCCCACCCCTGTGTGAGCACACACACACACACACACACACACACACACACACACACACACACACACCTGTGTAGACAAACACAAAGATTTTAGTGTGATGATGACTTGAAATATTTATACATCACCATTTTCTTGAAAACTTCTTTTTGGAGGATATTTGTGGGTGAAATATTAGTTCTGGGCAGAGAGGCATATACTACCAAAACTGTGATATTCTTCTGGCCCTGAGAGATGCTTACGATTTAAAAAAATTTCTATGGTTGCAGCCTAGACAAAAGGCAACCACACAGTATTTCTACTCAGTGACCTTGCCTGTGTGACTTCATGGTAGTATTTCTTGTTCTGTATGTGCAGAGCTAGCCAAATTCAGGCAGTCTGGATGGAGAGATGGCTCAGTGATTAAGAGAATGGACTGCTCTTGCTCAGGACCTCCCAGCAGCTGTGCTGGGTAGCTCACAACTGCCTGCAACTCCTGCTCCAGGGGTTTGGGCACCGCTGGCCTCCTTGGGGACCTGCATTTATATATACATACCCCCTACAATGCACATAATTTAAAATAATAAATATAAGCCTTTAAGCCCAATACACTTCTTGAAGCTCAGAGCCTAGTCTATTTGACACTTAGTGTCTTCTGGACACAACTTAGAAAGCCTGAGGCTATAAGGACACCGTGGCAGACAGGAAGGAAACCCATGGCATTTCCAGCTTCTATACATCCTAAGAAACCACACACTCCTAAAGTAAGTGACACCATCTGACATTGGCAAAGGAACACCTTCCTTCACTTCTGTCACTACTCTCCCACAAAGCCTTTATCAGCTTTCACTAACACCTGGACAGGAAGCCATGATAAATCATTAGCAAAGCTTATCCTACAGGTCAAAGGTCATTGATGAAGTCTTCATTTGTTTTATTTTCTTTTAGTCCCAAACTTCTGACACCTCTAGAAGATCCTTGAATTCTTGTATAATTTTGCATGCAATTTGATTTTTTTTCTCTCAAGAAGAGATTAAGCCCAAATTGATATACTTTCCACTCTAAAGCAAGAGAACAATTTATAGTACATACACACACACACACACACACACACACACACACTTAATAATCAATAATCAAAGAAAAAGGAGTGGTAGGGGACACTGGAAGGGTTTGAGGAAGAGCATCTGGGAAGGAGAAAAGATGTAATTCTATTCCAATTCAAAATATATTTAAAATATCGCCTAGAGTTAGAGACCCAGTATATTGGATAGAAATTGCCACCATAAGCAAGGAAGTGGGGTTTTGTTTGTCTGATGTTGATTTCAGGAAATTTTGTAGCATGCTAAGGTGACATTCTACTTACAAAGACGGGCAGGTCCTTTCACAGTAATTCTGACACTTCGACTGCCCAAAGGAACCGCAATCACATTTTCTTCCTCTAGAAAAGAACACAGACAAATGTAGTGAAAACTCATGTCCTAAAGGCCCATGAGTGTGAGCAAGTGTATGAAAACCCAGCAGTTTCTCGGAACATTGACCAGTGGTCCTGCCTCGGGGTAGATGCCTGTGAGAACCGAGAGCAAGGACTCACACAAGTACTTTCTCATCCACATTCATGCAGCACTGTCTACAGCAGCCAAAAGGCCGAGGCAGGGCAGGTGGCCATCCACACAATGACACCTGTGCTGTACCTGCAGCTAAAGCAAACTGACACATGCTCTCACATGGATCAACCAGGAAGAGGCTACACTAAGTGAAGCAGAACAATTGTAAAAGGACACAGAGCCAAGAGCCAAGTTCACACAGACTCGGGTGGGGGAAGGGAGAATAAGGAGTTTTTGCTAAGTGGGCAGGGAACTTCTGTTTAAAAGATAAAGGACATTCTAAAGACAGGTGAAGATGATGGTTCCCCTGAACCAAACACTTAGAAATGACTAAGATAGTGGTAATGTGGATTTGAGGGATGGCTCAATTAGGTCCTTGCAAGCATGAGGAACCTAAGTTCAATTCTCAGCACCCACATAAAAAACACCCGGTGTGGTGGCATATGCTTATAGTCTGAGGACTGGGGCTCAGTGGTTAAAGAGTATAGCCTAATCAGTGAGCTCTAAACCAATGAGATACTGTCAAAAGAGATGGATGGCACCTGAAGTTATCTCTGGCCTTCACACGCATGCAATGCATAAGTTCGTGCATCCCCCCAACACACACACACAGACACACACACACATTCATGCATCCCCTGATACACATATATGCATGCATTCCCTTGACATACACAATTCACTAACACACACACAGACACACACACAGACACACACAAAATGGTTAAAACAGTAACTTGCAAGTTACGTATATATACATATACATAATCATAATTTTAAAAATACATACAGTATAATCTTATACTGGAAAAGTGTTTCAGTATTACATTCTCATGTATGTGTAAGCTAGAGCAATACATACAATACAACACTATATTACATGCACATGTTACTTTGCGTGCGTTGGAAGATGACAGTGTACGCATAAGAGTGTGAGGCAGAGGGTTGTGTGGTTGCTCATTAGTGAGTAACAGTAAGACATTTCAGCTCCTCTGTCCTCCAAATGTGATAGGGAGCTCCCACCCAGCTGCTGGTGTTCATCATCTCTGAGAAACTGAGAACTAGAGGGTAGAGAACATTAGTGCACACACTTTCTGAATTTTCTGTAATAAGTGTCTTTTAAATAATACACAGTCTGATACATACTTTTAAATTAAACTAGAAATTTAAATTGGATAGACCAAACCTAAAACCATGTTAATAGCAAAAAGATGAGGGCTTCAGAGTTTGCAAACAGTTCTGTCCCAGATGACAGAAAGATGAGAGGCATCAGTGGTTCAGGATCAATGTAATTCTGAACCCTCACCAAAATAAAAGGCAGCCCAGAAATTCCGAAACCTTCTCCAAAAACAAACAAACAAATAAGAAAAAGGCAGTCCAGAAATGGATGCATATGAGCCCATTTGATTAAAGTTAAAGGTAAAAATATTGAATACACACAAAAAATAGTTTCTGAACTCTTTCAAAAGAATAACACACACACAAATAAATGAAATATGTTCTCAAGTGAATGGCTGGTTTGGCATTGAGATGTCTCAATGTATTGGGTAACCAAAGGAACAAAGGCTTGCTTAAAATCATCCCTATAGATAAAAAGCATTTTCTAAAATTCTGTATACACTGCTTTTACCAGTCTTATTAAGAAACATCCTCAATTTGGTAAACAACATTAGGGGCCATGGGCAGACTCAGTGGTGAATAGCTAAAATTATTCCCACAGGGAAAGGCAAACATCATTATCACTATTATTGTTCCTGAAGATTCTCATCAATGGAACTACAAAATAATAACGTATGCAAATGTATTTTGGAAAAAGATCTTAAAATTCTGTAGTTATAAAAGAGAAAAATTAAGTTCAAGTGATATTTTGATATTACACAAATGGCTTCCAAAAATTTCATTATCTAGTTATATATTTAAAGATACTTATGCATTTAATGGTATGTGGTATATACTATGCAAATACAGTGTATATTATTTTAATGCATACCATTATGTGTTACAGAATATTACTTAACTAAGTAAAGGTATGCTGCATTTGTTTATGTTGCATTTGTTTAACTAGGCAAAGATGTATTATGTCTGTTTATGCTGCATTAGTTTAATTATGCAAAGATGCATTGCTGTTTTACCTTGCCTGACTAGGGTACCCGATTGGTCTAATAAAAAGATGTACAGCCAATAGCTAGGCAGAAGATGGATTGGCAGGGATAGGGTGGGGAAGAGGCTGGTGGGCAGAGAATAAGGAGGAGGAATCTAGGCTTGAGAGAGAGAGAAGACAATGAAGGACAAAGAGAGGGAAATGCCTGGAGCCAGCTAGCCAGGCAGCCACCAGACAGACAGACACAAAGACATACAGAATGAAAGAAAGGTACAAAGCCCCAGACAAAATGTAGATGAAGAGAAACAGGTTAATTTAAGTTTAAGAAGCTAACCAGAAACTTGCCGAAGCTAGGCTGAGCATCCATAACTGTAGTAAGTCTCCATGCCACGATTTGGGGGCTGGTGGTCCAGGAAAGACTGCTACAGTCATGCATACAAGCATAACACAAGCTATTGCAGTAGCAGTGAGCACACTTGTCATCAGGCTGTGCTGCAGACTCCACTTCCCACTACAAAAAAACTGTGCTTTTCAGAAAGCCAATCACAGTTTGAGTCAGAAAATAAACACTACACCATCATGACACAGCAACTTAGAGAACTCGGGGATATTCTTAAAGACAACTGGAGTCAGGTTGAAAGGACTTGGAGTTAAAACTCCAAGGTTCCTCAGGTACCAACAATGAGACAACCATTAATAAGAATAATGATTACAGAAGAGTTAGTCACACAAAGTACATTGAAAGCAGTGAGTTCAAATAATACTGGAACAGTACTGTTGGCTACACAAACCAGTTTTCATTTCTAAAAGTGTCAGGACTTTCCATACAAACCACACTGCAGGGGAACCAGATAGTCGATGGCAGGATGTTTCTCTTATGGCAGTGTGTGAGTGTGTAAATGAACACTAGGCAGAATGTAATCACATGACAGGTCTTCAGCAACTCCAGAGCCACAAGAAAGAGGATGCAGTGAGCTTCCTGGCATGATTCATTAGGAACTCAGACACCAGCTCTTAGGAATTCTCACCCCAGCAGACCTGAACACAGATAGGTCTTCAGGTGGAGTTGATAAGTTTCTGTATCCCGATATTAAGTCTCTCCAAGGATGCAATAAATCAGAGCAGGCTGAATTGAAGTCCAGGTTTTAATCTGGGCAAAGAATTCCCTGGTGGTTCCAGGGGAAGAGGAGAAACCAGGAGGTCGAAGCATGTGGCAGGTTGGGTGGGGGGTACCATGTCTTAAGTAAACTGTAGGTGTTGTCTTGAGCATCTCAGGGAAAGGAGCTGACTCTTGGTGGGTTTTCTCAGGGGCAGGGTGTGAAGAGGGCTGCTCTAGGGGAGGGGGGCACCTATTGATGCACTGAGCATAGGGTTTAGAGATGGCAGTCCCAGGGGAGATTCCCCAACAGGAGTCACCTATTTCATACAAAGATACAAAACAAAGGGAGCAAAGGCAGTGTTGAGCCAATATTAAAATGCAATATGGAGAACAGAGACTAGATGGTAAATGAGGATTTTCTTCAACAAGAAAAGGTCAAGAGGAAAGAAGAAAGGACCAAGTGCTTGTCCCTTAAAAGAAAGAAAACAAAAGAAAGAAAAAAAAATACCAAAGATACCCAAGAAAACTCCTGGCTTTATTTGACAACTAATTTGAAGAGATAAGAAAACAGCAACAACAAACCAACAACAGAGTAAGAATTTCTGCAAAGGAGACAATGAGCAAACATTGCAATAACTGGCATTTCCAAAGCCCTGGAAATTAACCAAAGGCTTTCAAAAGACCGGGCAGTAATTACTCAAGAAAAACATAGAGTAAGAACAGCAAAGACTGTGGGATATCAACTTGTTTATTTTTCTCTTCCCTGTTTTCTACCCCCATAGTAACCTTTGTAAAAAGCCCTTAACCTGAGTGAGGGCCAGCAGCTTGCCAGACCCTACAAGAGTTGGAATGGGTTTGGAGCTCCTTAAAAGCCCAATTCCCAGTGGTCATTACTTGGCTTGCATGGTAGTTGCCTGGAAGACCCCACTCACTAAGCTGCTTGAGTCTGACTTGCGAGCTTGCCCAGTGCAAATAGCCTCCCCCATGGGAGTTTGACCAAAAAAATTAGAAGTTGTTGTTTAAAACAAGGCTATATGAGGTCACTGGCAACTTTATCAAAAGCCCTCAGTGGAGAGCTGGAAAACCATGTCCATTATATTCCTAGGAGTGTGTGGCTATTGGTATATAGGGCAGTCATATGTATGCTTATCCAGAAAGGCCTATAAGGACCTTGAGTTCTCATCTGTTAACCCTGAAGCAGAGAGTGAAAGTTAAAACTAAGATGTCAACTACCTGGTTGCCTTTTGGGAAACAACCCAACACACACACACACACACACACACACACAGAGAGAGAGAGAGAGAGAGAGAGAGAGAGAGAGAGAGAAAAGGACAGATAGAGAAAGAGACAGACAGAGAGAATTTCAAAGTATATGACAATAGAGAAAATAATCTGACACATCTGAGCATTTTTGTGGGACAACTAAAAAAACAAAACAAAACAAAACCACAAAGTCAATACCACAGAAAATGTTTTCTACATAATGACTTTCTGTACACAGCTAGAGCGGTGGGTGATGGATAAGTGAGGCTTACTGTGCAAATTATATATATATATATATATATATATATATATATATACATACATACATACATATATATATATATATATATATATATATATATATCCCAGGT